TTTTAGTTTTGCTGTGTTTTACTAAGACTTATTATTTATCATCATAATCTTCAATCAATGGAGAATGCAACATTATATAATTTTGTATATGAAATATTACATAAACAAATACTCAAATTATACGCAGATCACCAGATTTACAACCAAATATTGAAATTTGTTTTGTTGCTTAAACAAATCTTGTACAAATTTGGGCTGATATTATTGATAGTCTATCTAAAAATGGTAATCTATATTCAAAAACATTAATGTCTGTAATAACAATCTATAAATTTATAATAAATTTCATTACTAAAGTATTTATAGTAGATTTCTTGATTTCAATGTATTCAATATTTCCTTTAACTTATAGGGATTGTAACAAAAATCCATTTATTGAATAAACTACAATCCTTTCATCATGGGAACTAAATAAAATACAAGTTAATGGAGAATAACTTAATTTTAAATAAAAAATAGGTAATCTTTTTGGATGATTAATAAATCTATAAAGAGTGCGATTATACAAATTATATAAGAATATTGTACCATCTTAAGTTCCAACACAAAAGATAGTTAGCTATTCTGAAATACATATTGAATTTATTTATTAAGTTGTATCATAAATAACATGTTTACTTTAAAGCACTTCTTCTTATTTAATATCCTATTTATTTTAAAGAATTTTATTATAATAATATACAAAACCCTTATTAGTTCCTACTATTACAATATTCTATTATTTATTTGATTCAAAAACAGTTACTGTGCAATGATTATTTATTATTTCACTTTCCAATTCTATCACTCCTTAAAATTTCAAATTATCTAAACAATAATAAATAATTGTTCCATTATTATTTCCACCAAATAATATAATTGATTATTCAATTAATACTAATATGGGTGGTAATACATATTTGATCATAGCATCAAAATATATTCTAGGTAATTAAACTTATTTTTCTAATTAAAATTAATATTAATTTTTAACTATTTACCATTATAATAATGTAAAATCTTCTTAAATACTTACTACTTTATTTTTATTACAAATTAAATAAATCAATTTAACTTAGGATTTTTTATTCTTTATTGTCTACCATTAAGTTTTATCTATTGTATAATTCTTTTGAGCATGAGGTTTATAAAATAACTATTCTGGTGTTTATCCAAAATGAGCAATTTAAGTTTCCATTGCTAATTCATTTATTTCTATACTGTTTTCATCAAAATTTGAGTAAGTTAATGGATAAAATACATTAAATGATTTTATAGCAGCATTACCTTATTATTTATATCCCCAAATCAAATCTATCCATTCATTTAATTTAATTGCATAATCACTCTCTAATGCTATCATATTTTAAGTTACATAATAAAAAGGATTCTTATTAGAATAGAATGGTAATTGTACATTGTTTACAATTTAATTACTTTACAATTTACCTAAATTATATCCATTTATATTTAGAAATGATTCAGGTAAATAAAAAAATTCAGGTGTTAATTCTCTTACATCAGCCATCTCATTATTACAATCTATCCATGATTTCATAATAGATCTAAAAAGTCGATCTGGTATGTCAAATTTACCATCTTATATTGATATAGCTGCTTCTGTAAATGGACTCAATCTAATCAAATATTAAGACACTAATGCTTAACTTGAATAATGTGTTCCATAATAAAATTATTCATTTTCATATCTTTTAATAAATTAATCTAATCTTATTTCACTTCCACATACTCCTATTGGTAAAGATAGATCTCTATAATTAATTTCATTTTATATTGATGCAATATCATTATCATCAAAATCTGAAGCATTTCCTTTCAAAACCCATGGAAACACTGGATATCTTGTTAAATCTATGTATGATCGACAAGATAAAAAATTCAAATACATTAGATACTTGAAATTACTAACTTTATTAAAATCACATTATTTTGGTTATATTTTCAATTTATCAATTATCTCTTCTTTCAAACCTTAATCCTAAAATATCAAGTATAATGATTCACCATCTTTAAATATAATTTCAATAGCATTTCTATTTCTGATATAAATTCTTTCATGAAGCCACCTAATTTAATTTCTTTTCCATGATTTCTTAAATGGCTTATGATTTGGTATTGTGTGAGGTAGCAAAGTTATATGATTTGCTTATTAAGTATAAGAATAATAGGAGAATGTTATTTTCTCATCTCCTATTGTTACTCCTCCTTATTTTAAATATAAACTCTTTAACCAAAAACATTTATATTATTATTTATTTTCCAAAGGCACTTATACATCATTCTCAAATTCAGTATTCTTTTTAAACTTAATTTTTAAAATTGGACGAGAATAATATTTATTTATATATTTCTCAATTTTATTGATGTAATAAGGATTCTCATTAAATTTGTAATCATGATCAATATATTCATCTATTTAAAATTTACAATCTTTTGGTCTATATATAGTTATACGTAAATTATGCCATAACTTACACCATCTTTATCTAATCTTTCTAGTTTTATTCATTAATTTATAAACAGATACTTACATTTATGCTGCAGCTTAATTAATTTCATCTGTTAATTTAGATAATTATTCTGATTATGTCATTTTAGTCTATTATTATTCTAGAGTCCACTTAAGTAATAAGGATTCTTAAAAAGCTTAAAAATCTTCTTAAAATTTAATAGAATCAAATATTTATACTTATTGTTCTTTTAGTGATTAAAGAATTAACACATTTTGAGTTAAAAAATATTCAATACTCTCTTTTATTTATAAATCTTCAGTTTATAATTGAATAGCTTTAAGCAAATCAATAATTTAATTAATAAAACTTTCACTTTCTTCTGTATTTAGATATTAAATCTATTCAAAAAGTTTAGTAAAAAAGAATAACCATTATTTCAATTTATCAATAGGACAACTTAAATTAATAATCTTTTATAAAGCAAATGGTAATTCTTTTTGTCCAATTAATTTAGATAATTCTTGTTCATTTTCTAAATATATAATATACTTAATTAATTTAGTTAAAAACACTTCAAAGTTTTTAAATTATTGAACTGAAAAATAAATTTATAATAATATCTATTAGACTTAATATATTTATTCTTCATTAAATTATTCTATTACTTCAGTCACTACTGTAATGAGAGCTGATACATCCTTTCTAATTTGAAAATGAATTAAAATTTGCAATATAAATTGAGGATTCTATTTTAAAAGATAAATAAAAATTTCTAAAATCTTTTAATTTATTTCAAACTTCAATTAATCTAAAAACCATATTGAATATTATTAAAGTATCAGTTGTTATTATTCAATACCAAGTTTCTTGATATAATTAAGATAATATTCTAGGATATTCTATGATTTGGTTTAAGAGTATAAGTGTTAAAGTATTTCAACACATAAACAATTAATCTTCAATAATTAAGTTAATGTATTTAATAGATTATCAAAGTTATTGGTTACACAAATTGCTTTTGAGATATATGATATCATTCCTTAACTTAATAGATCATTAGTTCCATAAAGCATTTATCCTAATAATGTTATAGTAGCTATTAAGCAATCCATACTATCAGTTTGTAAGAGAAGAAGAATGTCATTTAGGATCTTATTTTTAATATTATGATCTCTAAAAATAATAAAATTTTCTTAATCATCTTTAAATAAGTCAGATACTAATCTGGTTGCACTTTAAATAGCTTTAATTTTGAGTTCAATAATTGAAGCTTCAGCTACTTTTAAAAAGAGTTTGAATTATTCTTTTAATGTATTAAAGTTATATTAACACGAATAAATCATAATTTATAGTATTTAATCTTAGATTTAGCTTTTCTAATTGACACTCACTAATAATTAAGCCAGATATTAGATTGAAGTAACTTTTAAGTATTATTAATGATCATTAATATAGAATTATTGTAATAAAATGCAATATTACTATTAATCAGTAACTCTCTTTATGAAATTGACATCAATAATTAAAAGTAATAATTGATTTAGAATATCTTAATCATCTACTTATTATTTAATTTATAATATATAAGATAAATTAGGAATGTCTACTTTGATAATTTAGGCTATTTATTAAAATAGTTTCATTTCAGAAATTTGATTTTTATTTATTTGACTATCTTGTAATAAAGTATAAAGAAGGATTTTAAATAAATCATCTATTTAAGAATGATTATAATATTAAATTAAATTGAAAAGTGGAATTAATATTTTAATACCACCATATTCTACAAAATCATATTTTTACAATGAAGATGTCATTTTAGTATCTCCTTATAATTCATATATAACATTTTAGATTCTATCTTTAACTCGTTTTGTTTAATGAGGATCATATAATGGATAGATTTAATAAAAAGGAGATTTTAGATGGAGATCCACAATTTCATTATAAATAGAAATCTCTTTGACTTTACATTTAATATTCTAAAAATAAAGAATCTCAAGATTTTGATTCCTAATTTTAGGATACTCAATTTGAAGTGTATTTTTTTTCTGATTAATTGAATATATAAACTTTGGTCTGGAATATAGTTTTCCACATTCATGTGAAATAATTAGTTCGTTCCATCCATTCATAATAATATCCCCCAACTTATTATTTGAAGAGTAATCCTCTACAATAACTTTTTCTAAAGTGAATCTTTAGTAAACATTCTTATAGAAGACTACACCAGCCATTATGTAACAATGAATTCCATTGGCTATTATTCTTTTATTATCAACATGAGAAGATGAAAATTAGAAGAGTGTTCCATCTCCTTAAGGATTGAATGTTAAACATATCGAATATTACTTTTCGAAATGCCATTAAGAATGATTGATTAGTTTTATTCCTCCATTGTTGATGACGAATTGATCTTCATTCTTCTCTTACTTTAGATACTCATACAAACTCTTGATACAGTCAGCCATAGTTTAAGAGTTGTATGTACTTTTGGCATATTCATCAGATAAATCATGAAAGTACTTTAACATGAGTATATATTAATCATAGAAATTGTTAAATAGTCTTCCGAATCGATCTTTTTTTCATTACATTCTCAGCATCCTTTTAACTAATCTTAGCTAATAGATCAACTCTAGTAAGATTGGCTACATCATCTAAATTTCCATCATGTGACACTTATACTGACTGTAATCTATCCTTCATTTTTACTTCTTCATTCTTTTTCTTTGTGATATTACTCTCTTCATCTTCTAATTAATCTAAATCTCTTATTGGAATCATAGGAGCTTCTTAATTTCTAATGTTATTCCAATCAATTCCATTAAAAAATTTATGACATTTTAATTCTTCAGCACCTGTATGTCCAAGTCTCTTATGATATTATGGTTCTAATAATGAATTAATTAATTCATAGGCTTCTTAACTCATCATATCTTCTTCATTGCCTATCTCTGGCCATTCTATAAATCTATTCATTATATTCTCAAACACTTTTGGAATACTAGAATCATTAAATGGTGGAATTCCTACTAAAAATTCATATGCAATAACACCAAAAGCCCACCAATCTATTGAAAAATTTGATATAGATAATCCACAAATAACTTCAGGTGGAATATAATCAGGAGTTCCAATAATTCTATTCTATCTTTTTCCTGATTGTGTACGTTCTTAAATACTTGACTTACTAGTAGTATTTTGTAAATGAAATTCTATATTACATTTTGTTTTAATATTTCTTTTTGATACATTCATAGGTAATGCTTCAGGATCTATTGAACAATTAAGTCCATCTTTTCCTTCTTTAATTTTTTATACTAAAGCAATTTCAGATAATCCAAAATCAGCTAATTTTAGATGACCTTATGCATCTAATAATATATTTTATGGTTTTAAATCTCTATGAATAATTCCTTTTTTATGTAATGATTCAATTGCTAATAATAATTCAGCTAAATAAAATTTAGCTAATGATTCTGAAATACGTCCATATTAATAAAGTACTTAACTAAAATCACCCCCCATCATATATTCTAATAAAAATAATAAACAATTATCTTAAATAAAAGAATAATAGGCTTTTACTACAAAATCACCTTCTAAAATTTCAAATACATTTTTTTCTGCTCTTAAATTTTAAATTTCATTTATATTCTTATTTCTACAATCTATAACTTTCATTGCATAATAATCTTTAGTCTTTTTTTTACAAACTAACCACACTGCACCAAAAGCTCCAACACCTAATACTTATATAAATTCAAAATCTTATAGTGTTACATTTAATCTAAAATAATTAATATTTTATACAATTATTTATTTTTAACTAATTTAGTTGTTTTGAAATCTCCATCACTATAATATCCTTTAACTTTCTATTCTTTTTCATTATCAAAATCACATTTTTCTAATACTATATCATTTTAATTTAAATCTTTAAATGAAATTATATTGCTTTTTGATTGTTTAACAAATTCTTCCATTTCAAAAGATTCTTCAAGTGATTTCTTAGTAATATTATTTTTGATTTCTTTAGATGTTACATCTTCTGAATCTGATTAATTACTACTTTCTCCTGCATCTTCAGATTCACTTAAACATTTTTAAAAGATACAATCTTTTCCTACACCTTCAGTAAAAGTTTTGGATTAAACTTATTGATTATTATCAAATTTAGATATAATATTTTACTTATTTAACCATTTAGATCCATTAGAACTATTTTTTAACATTTCAAAATGTTCTTATAATGAATTACCTAAAGAAGTTCTACGATTTCCAGTTTCAACTTTATTATTCTTAATACGAAGAGGAGAAGTAAGATTTTCAAGCTTATCTTCTTCAGATATCAATTTTTGTAATCTTGAAATTTTTTATGTACATTAAACCTTTTCCTAAAATTATAAAATATTTTTCAATTTTACTTCAATTAATTTCAAAGTCATTTTTACAAGATCTTATACTTCTTTTTATAGTGTATGTTTGATGTTGAACAATTCAACTTATATTTTAAGATCAAATTAAATTGATTAAGTACCATGATGAGTTTTAAGAGTTTCTTCAGTATATTTAGTAATTATCGAAAGAGAGTTTAACTGTAATCTCAAATCTTTTAAAATTTCATTATTATCACTAATTGATATTCATTATAAAGTACTCAAGAGAGAATGGACTCCCCATTCCATTTGATAATGGAGAACTAATTTATTTGAATTCTGGAGAAGGAGAATGTGCAAACTTAATTCCTTATTTCTATTATTCTATTTTCTTTGATAATTTAATCTATTGTTTCATTATTCGTTCAAGATCCTCTCCTGTAATATTTTCTTAAACAATCTAAATCACACATTCCTATTCAGGTTAATCCTCAGAAACTTCATTATTTGCTAAGCTTGTTCCTATATTTGCAAACCTTGATTTCACAGTACACTATTATTATACATGTTTACATTTACCTTGTTTGTTCTTGAACCTGTTTCTTCACTTGTACAATCTTCTGGTTGATTCAATTACAATGGAGCACTACTTCTCATCCCTCGATTTTCATGGTTTGTATATCTAGCCTATTTAGACTTATGAATTTGATATTTTGTATTTAGTGTCCTAAAGCTATTTTATGCCAACTCGGCCAACTTTTGTATTTATACATCCAATTAATGCAATTGCTTTCTAGCTTCAAAGATTTCTTAACAATTAACCAAATGATTCTCAATCAATGAAGCATCTGTCTAAACATGTAATAGAGCATTCATACCTATTTTTCACAGATTCTACACATTACTAATAGATCTTCATTACTCTACATTTCAGCAATCATAAATATATATAATTATTATAAACTCAATGATTCTTAACCATAATCTTAATCGCTTTATCTTATACTCAACTATACATCAAGCATATGTCTGTTACACCCATTTAATTAAATGTAAATTATACATCTTTAATATTTTATTGTTACTAATCATTAATTTTAGATCCTATTTTAATTACCTCTCCTAACAAACCTACTATCATTTTACTTCTAAGATAATAAATTAAGAATGAATTCATTTTACTAAATTAATTTTATATATATATAATATATTCCTATGAATTGTTCCAAAATGAATTGATAATATTTATTTATTAATATTACAATTTATCTAACATATAAAAACTTATCACTATTTATAATTCAATATCTTAATAATAAATAATATTTAAAGAATTTGTATTATTTCTATATAAATATTATATAGTTTATAATAATCCAATAGATTCTTAATCATCCATAATATAGTATTTCAATAATAATAATATTATAATTTAAGGTTGCTCACTAAGTAACATTCAGAATCTCAAAGTTATATAGAGAGGGCATAAATAAGTTATTCATTGATAATCAAATAAATATTAATTTACTCAGGAGATTATCAAATTATTATTATTAGTATTCTATTTTATCATTAAAATCTTAATTCTTTAATCATTATCTTTTTGAGTTTATATAAATATTAGATTGTTTAAAATAAATCTTTACTAAAAATTTAAATATATTGATTACTTATGTATGAAGTTGATTAATAAAATTAATAACTCTATATAACTTATATTTAATATTCAATTTATTATTGATTATATCTATTAAATAATTTAATCTATATTTAATCATATAATTATTTATAATATGTTTAACTATTATTTATTTTCAATATATTAAAATTATTATATGATTATTCTTTATATAAATTTGAAAAACCTTTTCTAAATTCTTTTATTATAAATATAAATTATAATTAATTAATTTTAGAATACATTTTTATAAAGTTCCTATTTTAAAATAATCATTAGACCTTGTTCTCTTATTATATTTATCAATTACAAATTCTAATTTATTTTTATAGATTATTTGTTATGATGAGAATATAATTATTATAACATAGTATTAATTTAATAACTTTTTTAATGAAAATTAATCATCTCAATACTGAAATTTGTAATCATTGATTTTATCATTACAAGAAGATAAATTGGACCTTGAGAATTATGGTCATTCTGTTAGATCTCTATTAAAAGTGACTGAATAAGATTAAGAAATAAATTTATATGAGAATTAGAACTCAAGGACACATAGATAAGGTGATCTTGCAAGTATTATGATTGATTCCAAAAATAAGTATTTCTATAACTAAATTAGATTGAGCACAACAAGTAATCGATAATAAAGAATGAGAGCAGTTAGTTTTCAAACCAATAAACCCATGCTTAATTATAAGGAAGACAGTCCAATATAATCAGAAAGCTAAAACTCTATGGAAAATATTGGTTTCAGTAATAAAATTTGGAAAACAAAGGCTTTAGAGATTCTTATGATAACATTGCGATTTATTAGTTTTATAACAAAATCAAATTTCGCAACAAGCTTTAAATTAATTAAGAAAAATGTATTTGATATAATTGGGGATGTTTCAGCAGATTTTGAATTTTATCAATTACGGAATTTCTTTAAATATGAAGTATAAATAGTGATAAAGTCTAGAAACCAACAGGATTTTAGAAAATGATTTATTTTTTGAGTCAAAGCATTTTAGTTCCAATAAGAAAAACTAAACTATTAAAAATATATTTTGGGAATTAGAAACTCATATTGAGACCAGAATCATTGGCTTCTATTTGGTGGAATATTTATATTTTGACTATATTGAATATTAATGTTTTATATGTATCAGCAAAGATAGCATTTAAATTTGATGATAGTACAAATGATGAACTTTAATAAGCAAGATAAATTATTTTTGATGTTTTACCATCTTATTCATTTATGCTTGAAATATTATTGAAATTCAATACATGTTATTATAATAAAGGAGCAGTGATAGAGAATAGATACTTGATAGCTAAGAATTATTTTAGATCATGTAAAAAATTGACAATTAAAAATTAGCATTTTTGTTTGATATCTTTGTAATAATTCCATATTTTGTAAGTTTAAGATTTGATTTAGAATATTTGGATTTAGTAATTATATTAAAAGTGTTTCAAATTAAAAAGTTCTCTAGAACCTTATTTGATAGATTAGAATTAACAGCAATTTAGATAGTTATCTTTGATTTAATTAAATTAGTTTATACAATATTGGCAGCTGCTCATTTTTCAGCTTGTCTTTGGTTTTTAGTAGGATCAACAGGTGATCCAAGTGGAAATTCATGGATTAAAGTATAGAATATAGAAGATGAATATTGGTTTAATTAATATTTACATTCATTTTATTGGAGCATAATAACAATGACAACAATAGGATATGGTGATATTACTCCATAAAATTTAAGAGAGAGAGTATTTGCTGTTGGTATGGCATTATCAGCAGTAGGTGTATTTGGATATTCAATAGGAAATATAAATACTATATATGCAGAATGGAATAGAAGAAGTTTTTAAGTGAGAACTGATATGAATAATTTAAAGAAATTTATACGTTTAAAAGGAATTAATAAACATTTAGCAGAAAAGATTAGAAAATATTTTGAATATTTATGGAGTGATTAAATGGAAGATAATGATAGAGAAGTATATAAATTTAGTGATTTGATACCAAAATAATTGGCAGAAGAAATGAAGATTGATACTAATATGAAATTGATTTCTAAAATTAATTTCCTTACTTAGAATTTTAGTGAATAATTTTTGATATCTCTATCTAAAACAATGGTAGAAGAGAAATTCTTACCAGAATCTACAATATATTAAGTAATTTATTTATTTATTTATTTATAAAAATAGTAATATGATCCAAGTGATTATTTATATATTTTATCAAATGGAAGTCTTTCATTTTATATTACTTTGAATAACAAATAATAAACTGTTAAAGTTTTAGAAACTGTTAAATAGGAAGGTATACCTTTTGGTGTATTGGAATTCTTTTAATCTTAAGCTTACTAAATGTCTTGTAAATCAAATCAATTTTCTTATGTCTTAAGAATAGACAGATCTCAATTTTTAGATATTCTCAAATAACATTAAAATGATTATGTAGAATTCTCGATAGTATTATTATTAGTTTAAGTATTGTGAATTAGTACAATAAATCTCATTTATGAACAAATAAGAATTAGTTGATGTTACATGTCGAGCTTGCAATAAATCAACTCATATAATTAAAGAATGTCCGTAAGTATATTATTTTATATTAGAATGGTATGTGGTTATCCAAATAGAGTCAAAGTTTTACTAAATTATAGAAGGAATATTCCATCTGATAGAGTGAAATATAAAAGGAAAGTAGAGAGAAAAATATCTACAAGAAAGGAATCTCTTGATATAAGAAATAGTATCTATTTATACATGTGCAAAACTCAAATGTTTTCATAAGAATTAGATGATTAACGGTATTTATTTGACAGTAGAGGTAATCAAGATTTGATATCAATAAAAAGGAGCTAGTTTTGCTGATAGTGCTAATGATGAAATTATAGAAAATTAACCAGAAGTTGATAAGGAAGTGCTTAATAGTACAATATTGGCCTTAGATAGAAATTCAAGATTATCAAAATAATATAAAAAACGTAAACTAACTTTTTAAGCATGTACAGATGCATTGAAGGATGAAGAGATTGTATATTAATTATGTTTAATAATTAGAGAGATAAGATTTTAGAAGTTATCAGTAAGATATAAAGAGCTGAAAGATAAAGTATTTCTTAAAATAATTTCTCCAATCAAAATCTTTAATAGATGTAATTGAATACTAGATAGTAAAATCATTAAAATACTGTATTGAGTAATAAGAGTAATTAAGATTCAGATAAGAAAACAGGAGAATATGTAAGAGATTAATAGAGAAGATAAACTAAAATAATCATTACTCCATTTATAAAAGTAAATGATAATTCGATGGAATATTTATATTTGAATAAGAATTTGGAAGAAGATCAAGGTAAGAAAATGGGTTAATATTTGGAGATTTTCGAAGGATTTGATAAGGTAAAGAATTTTGAATATTTTTTGAAACATAATAATATTAGAGAAATAGCTAGATAATTTAAGAATATAATAAAAAATTATAGAAATAGAAATTAAAATAAATAAGAAAAAATAAAATTTATTTGAATATATTTATATATTTTATTGAATAATCAATCTTTTGCTGCTCTGTAAATTTTATTTGCTGCATCTTCTAGTAAACCTAATAATGATTCTTGAGATTCTTCTCTAAGTTTCTTCTCTTCCTCAATTTCACTCTTTACTCTTGATACTAGATCCTTAAGCATCTCAAATATTGCTGTTTCTGATTCCTCTCTAACAATATGCTCTAATTAAATAAATACCTCAATTTCTTTTAATTTCCTAAACCTTCATTAAGACGACGTATTTCATCACCTGCTCTTCTCAAAGTTCCATTATCATTATCTTCTCTATCTTATCCTTCTGTTTTTACCATTTCATATAATTTTGGTAGATCATTCTCTAAAGATGTAGTAATGTTTTCTATCTATTCTTATCTGATCTTTCCTTCAGTTTAAATATCAGATTTCAAGTAAACAACCTAATAAATTATTATTATTTATTCAATACCTTCTCATCCAAATATCCTTGTAATTTTAGATTACCATCTCTTCTTAATGCTATTTCTTATTCTAATTTAGTTGTTATACGACTTTCAAATGCTGCTATTTCTCTTACTCTTTGTTCAAATTGAGTTTCAAATGCATTATTTTCCTCCTCAATTTATTTTTACAAACGAACTATCTCATCTTTTAATGAATGCTAAAAAGATTTATATTTCATAAACTTACAAGCTTTCTATTATAAGATGTAATTGTGTCTTGAGTTCTCTCTTCTACTGCTGTTATTCTTCCACATATTGTATCAATTCTATGAGCCTTTGATTGATCATGTTATAATGGAATAGAATTCAATTTCTCTTGAATCTTATGGAAGCGTTCATTGAAAGGTGTATTTGGATTCATTTTAATAACAAATTTATTTAAAAAATAATATTTAATCAAATATGGATCAAATAGAGGAAGAACATAAGATAATTCATCTAGAAATCAAGTATACTACAGAAATTCATAAAAACGTACCTATTGATCTAAATGGAACCGTACTCAAATTCTAAGAGACTCTCTAAGAAATACTCAAGGTCCCAATTGAGAAATAGAAGATTATGATTAAAGGATCTCTTTTAAAATAAGACTAAAATCTTTCAAAATTGAATCTCAAGAATGTAAAATGGCATTTATATCTTAGGGATAATAAATTATGGTTATGGGTGCAAGAGAAGAACATCTTTTAAATTTGAAATAAGGCAAGAAAATATTTGAAGAAGATCTCACACCAGAATAGAAGGCTATTTTTTTGAAATAGAAAGCAGGAGTATATATACAAAATCTATCTTATTAGATTGTTTTACCAATAGGATTAGTCAATTAAGGAAATACATGTTATATGAATGCCTCAATTTAAATTTTGAGAAGAGTCAATGAATTGAATGAATATGTAAAAAATAATGCAAAGTAAGGATAAGGACCTAGTGTCAAGTTATTTAATGCATTAAATGATGTTTTCTAAAAACTTGAACTCAAAGGTGAACCATTTAAGCCTTTGAATTTTATGACTGTAATACATTTTCTAAAAAAGTATAGATCTTCTTCTAGTTGTATCCAGAATTTGCTTAAAGGGATAATCCAATGACATTCAAATAATAAGATGCAGATGAATGCTTTTAAAATATTCTTTAAACTATTTAACCTTTGACTAACTATGAAAATGAAGAGGGATAATAAAAAAATTTAATTTCAGATTTATTTGAAATAGAATTGAAAGCAACAATTGAGAATTAAGATATTCCAGATGAACCAAAGAAGGTTAGTGTAGAGAAGGGTAAGAAGTTAATGTGTATAATTGATAATCAAAGCAAACCAGTAAATACTTTAGTTGAAGGTATTACAGTGAGTTTGGAAGAATAAATGGAGAAGATTTCTGAGACAGATCAGCAAACTCATATTTATAAGAAAACACAAAGAATTAGTAAATTAGTAAGAGTTTATAATTTATATTAAAGCCAAGTTATTTATTATGTTAAATGGTTAGATTTTATTGGAAAATAGGAGTTTAAGGAAAGGAAGGAGTGAAGGCTAAAATATTGAGAAATGTTGCATTCCCAAAGATTTTAGATTTATTTGATTTTTGTGCTCCTGAATTATAAGAATAATTACAAACAGGAAGAGATTATGAAAAAAAGAAAAATTTGGAAATGGCTGCTAAAGAGACAGATGAGTTGGAATAATTCAAAAAAGATTTAGAAGCATCTGGAAAGATGGTACCAGATGATACTAGAGAAATTTATAAATAATTTAAGGCTAAAAAATAATAAGAAGAAATAAAGAATCATGATGATTAGTTGTATAGAAAACATGGATTTGGATTAGTTACAGGAAATTATGAGTTAATTGGTGTTTTAAGTAATTAATTATTTTAATTAATAGCTCATACTGGAAGAGAGGCTGATTCTGGACATTATATGGCATGGGTTCATCATTCAGGTGATAATTGGATATGTTATGATGATGAAAAGACTTCAGAGAGAAAAATTGAACATATATTAGATTTAAGAGGAGGTGGAGATTGGCATATGGGTTATTATCTGCTTTATAGAAGATTAGAAATTGAGTGATATTATAAAAATGAATAATTATCATTATTTATTCAAGTTCATTATTGTAGGAGAATCAAGTAGTTGAATGTATATTAAATTAGCTGTTGGAAAAAGTTGTTTATTATTATAATACACAGAAGGAAGATTCTAAGTAGGGTATGATGCTACAATTGGAGTTGAATATGGATCTAAAGAAATAATCTATGATAATAAACTAATCAAGTTATAACTTTGGGATACGGTATAATATAATAATATTCAGGCAGGCTAAGAATCTTTTCGCTCTATAACTAGAGCATATTACAGAGGGTATTTAAAGGCTATAAATATGTTTAGATCAATTGGTTGTTTTTTGGTTTATGATATCACAAGGAGAATAACATTTGATAGAATTTAATCATGGGTTAAAGATGTGAAATAAGACACTAATAACAAAATTGAATTTTTGTTGGTAGGAAACAAATGTGATTTAAAAGATCGAAAAGTTAGTTATGATGAAGGAAGACAATTATCAATTTAATTAGGATGTGAATTTTAAGAGACATCAGCAAAAACTGGAGAAAATGTAGAATTTATATTTGAATGTTTGACAAAGAATATATATGAGAATATAAAATCTAATAAAATTGATCCTAATGATCCAAATCATGGAATTAAAATTGGAAAAATAGGATAAAATGAAAAGGTTACAGAAATTCCTAAGAAGAAACAGAGAAGTATTTGTTGCTGAAAATATTTACATATATATATATCATAATTAATTAATATCTAAATATAATTTAATTCAATTCTTTTTCCTTTGCTAATTAGGACTTTAACTAGTTTTTCTCTTTTTTTAACTATACATATAAAATATAATTATATACATTGCAACTCCTTTCTATTTTAACATACTATACTTTTTAGAGAGTGGAATTTCTTCAAAATTTTCTTCAAAAACTGAATCTTTCCAACCAACTGTCTCTGCACAAGAATTTTATCTACCATTTTAATTGCCTGTTTCAGCAGTCTATTTCATATTTTAAGCAATATCTTATGGACAACTGTCATCACCACACACTTTAATATCAAAAGCTATTTGTGAAGGTTAATATTTTGGCCTTATTGAGTTATAAGTACTCAACATTACACTTCCAGAAACCACACTTGGCTATTAAGAATCTTGTCTTTTCAATTATGAAGGTGGTATTAAAAATTGATTGTTGCTTAATCTATCAGATAAAGAATTAAAATTACTATCTAATTAAATTTGATCCTTATTTTTCAACAGATTTCTTCATCTCTGTAGATTATGGAGGTTACAATTATTATTAAGTAGTTGATCTTTAAAAATTATCAACATTCTCATTATTTTAAGATATCTTCATTTATTATTATTAATCCCAATCATATATATTATCTAATTGAATTCCTTAATTCTCAGCAGCCTTTTCAAATTAATGATACACAAAACAATAATTAGGTTCACTATTATATTGTAATTATTTCAAATATCTATAAAATTTAATACAATCAACTTACTCTAGAATTTTAGCAAATTCAATAGGTACATCTTTGCATAATTCTCTTGGGTCTATATTCATTTTCATTTCACCGACTTTGACAGTTCTTTCTTCATCACTGACATTCTGCATATTTTGCCATGGAAGCTGCCTAGACTTCTGATAATTCAAGATTCCTTTACCCTTTCATGAAATACAATAACACATATATTAATGATTCGATATCATCCTTTCTACTTAACTCATAACCTTTATGTGCAGCAATCGATGCATACCTTGTAGTACCTATAAACGATGCATTATCTCTAAAAGGTCTAATCTAATAACATAAAAGTAATTACAATATATTTCCTTAGGCATCTCTAAATATTTTGCTGATCCCAAAATCGACTACATATATTTTAGATGATTCATCCTCAATTCCAAATAAAATATTTTCAGGTTTCAAATCTCTATGTACAACACCTTTATTATGTATCCTCTCTAAAACATGAACAATCTATATGCCCAACTATATCGTTGTTTTAATAGAAAACTTCTTCTTTGTTTTCATATAATAAGATAGATCCTTTCCCAACAACTAAAGAATGATTACATTGTATTCATCCTATTATCCATGCCATAATAATTTGGGTATCCCATCAGTTCCTTACAATCTTTCTAACACTTAAACTTCCCTTTCTAATGAACGTACATCTTCATTCTCTTCTTTTTCTATTTTGATAGCCACATCAACATTTTTTTCCTTATCATGTCCTAAGAGTACTACTCCAAATGATCCAGAAGATATCTTTTTTTATACTACATATATTCCATTAAATATTGATGCAGTTTGCATAGTATTTTATTGATAATTAATTATTTTATAAATATCTATAATATTATTTTCCATTTAAATCCTGGATGTCAGAAATAGTACCTCATGTTTATTTATCCTCAATTGTTTATGCCAAAGACTTATATTGGCTTAAAAAGAAGAAGATTTCAAATATACTTATTATTGGATAATTGTAAAAATATTTTCCATTAAAATTTTAATATAAATGCATCATTATCGAAGATAAACCAGAAAATGATATATCATAGTATTTTGAGGAATGCATATAATATATAGATTAAGTTATTGCATAAAACAAAAATATTTTAGTTCATTGTTATGGTGGTTAAAGCAGATCTGTTAGCATTATTATAGCTTATATTATGAGAAAATTATCAATTGATTTAGAAAAAGCATTAAATTTTGTAAAAGAAAGACACCCAAGAGCAGAACCTAATTATGGATTCTTAAATCAACTCAAAACTTTTAAATGATAATTCTTCATATTTAATACTTTATATATAGATATATTTTCATTTGGGGAAATCCTGCTTTAATATTGATAGAATTTCATCAAAATTTCTAATTTTATTACACTGATATACTTAACAATTTAATTTTAAGATCCAATAAGAGCACGATTTTATTTTAAGTATGTTGATAAAATCTACTCTTTTAATCTTTCTAATTCTGGAATGAATTAATTATCTTATTGAGATTCATCAGGGATAATTATACCATTCTTTTTGACTATTTTTGAAGAATATTATTTATTTTTATTATTATTGCAATTTTAACTATTTTATCCATTCTATTGATTATTCAATTTTGTTTGATCAATTTACGATATTCTCATTGGATTCTACAATGACTACTCTTTATACACAAGAGGTGATGATTTAGTTTAATTACTAGGATTTGTTTTTGTAGTCTATGGTCTTTGATAATTTTAATTATATAATTTCTTTCCCTTATTATATTTCATCATTTCTTGGTTTTCTTCATTAACAATTTAATACATTACTCTTTATAACTCTTCGTAGGAGCAATCAAATGGATAGGAGACTTAATCTGTTTAGTTTTATTGTTTTAAATAAAAGGTTAATTCTCTGTTTCTTCTGTAAATAATACATCTTCCTCTATAATGATATGGGGTTTAATAGATTCTTTATTTTGATTATCTAATTAAACAGGCAAACGTGTATCAGTAATGAACTTATTAGGTAAAACTACATTGGGACTTGAATGTAAAGATTAAGAATTTTTTTGATGAGTCCAAGTTGCAATTAAATTTTCAACCTTTTAATTCTATGTACTTAAATTCAACTAATAGAATAATCATTACTTTTTACTTGTTTTTCAACAGAATATGATTGAATATTGTTTTTATACCTTAAATTGTCTATAGAAAATTGTAATTATCTCTAATAGGTTTATGGTCTTTCATTTGAAAGATTTCTAGAACGAGAAGACTATTAACCTAATATAGATGCCTTCATATTTTCTAATTCTTCCAATTAGGTTGATTGACGCTAAGATAATAATAACATTTATTATGGCTATAAAATAAAATTATAAAATTGCAAATTATTTTATCCAAAGATTAGAACATCATTTTTGATCTTTATAATATATATATATATATTATTGATAAAATCAGAATACAATTATTAATTTAAAAGTAATGTTATTATGAGATTATTTAAATTATTTTATATTTAAGTTGTACTTTCTTAATGGATTTACCTCCACTCTCTGAATTAGAATTATAAAATATTTACGCTTGGGTAAATAATGACATTTAATTTCCAGTTAGACAAAATACCACTCTCAAGAGCTAAAAAGAATATTCAAAGAGATTTTGCAGATGGAGCTATGGTAGCAGAAGTTGTATATCATTACCTGCCAAAATTAGTTGAAAAACATAATTATCCTTAAGCTCATAGTATTTAATAAAAATAATATAATTGGAGTACTCTTAATTTGAAAGTATACTATTAATATAATATTTAGGTATTTAAGAAACTTGGATTTCAATTATCTAAAAATGATATTGATAGTGTTATTGCTTGTTCACCTGAAGCTGTTGAAAGAGTGTTAAAGTTTTTATAAATTAAGATTGAAAAATATTTGGAACAATAGAAAGAATTGGAGAAAAAAGCAATTGAATAATAAAAACAATAGTAATATTAATAGCAACAAAAATAGTAGGTGTAAGAGGATCCCCTACAAAATCAAGATTTGAGATTGATCTTAGCTGAAAAGAATTAAGCAATTACAGAATTAAAGGAAACTGTTGAAATTTTATAATTGAAAGTTAAAAAACTTGAATAACTTTTACAAATTAAAGATAATAAAATTTAAGGATTAATCAATTAATTATAAGGTAAATAATGAATACTTATTATTATTATTATTATTTCTATATATTTATATAATCTAATTTATATAATTATATATACAGTATAAAATAGAAATATTTATAATTTACTTATGTCTAGTCAAAATGATGAAGAAAGTGATGTTTAAGATGTTGAAATAGTGGATGGTTACACTAGTGAATACATCAGTTAAAAATCAAGTCAACCTCCTTATTAAGAATCAAATGATTCTGAAAGGGATGATGATGATATTAAATCAGATAATATATCACATCAAGAATCTATTTCTAATAGATAATCCCTTCCTTAAAGATAATACATTAGTTAGAGAACAGCTGAAGATGAAGAAATTGTTAAATAATGTATGGAGGAAGCATCAAAAATTAATGAAAAAATAATGATATAAAGGAAATAACTTAAAGATCAATTTAAAGAATTCTAGAATGTAATAATTTAAACATAAATTTAGACAATTAATGCTGCAAGAAGCAACTTAAAAGATTATGATATGCCTTATCAAACTGCTCACTTTCCTTTATATTTAAAGACTTAAGAAAAATTTGTGATATTACCAGCATAAAATCTTAATATTAGAAAAGGAACAGTTGAATCATTCATTAAGACTAATTTAGAAAATGAAAATTCTGTAAAAAAAGCAGAATAAGACAGAAGAGTTGCTTTTAAATAAAGAAGACCATATTAAAAAAGAAAATTTGAATCTTGATTATAATGAAACATCATTTAATAGTAATTAATCACTTTTATTAAAATTTACAAGTGTTTTATTTAAATCAATTATTTATAGTTTCATCATTATTGAATAGAAGTTTTATTATATTCTTTATTTTTTATTTAAGCTAGTACTAAGAATCTTTTAAATCTTGTGTTGCAATTCTTAATTATTTAATTCTGAAAGGTTTTTCTTTTTTATTATATTTAATTTATTCATAAATTTTACAAAGTTAACTCTTATTATTTTAATTACCATTAATTAAATTTTCTATATTTAGCATCTTATGTTTAAGTGTTTAAAATTGATTACCTACTGGTTGAGTATTAATCAACTTAAATATTTCTCTATTAATGTTATTTCCTACACGTAATGTATGTTGCCTAATTTCCATTGTAAGTCTATAAATTGGTGCAAAAATTCGTACTATTACAATAAACTCAAGGAACATAAGAAAAATTGAAAAAGAGAATTGAAATAATATCATCTTCATAAAGATTACATTTAATTCTTAGTTTTTTTCATCTAATCTCTCTTAAATCTCTATTGTAGTAGTAATATTTGAGTATCTCAAAATTATATATTATAAAATACATGATGAGAGTATAATCTTGATTAGGAAGTTAAAAAGTAATTAGATACACAGATAGATTAGATAATTTATGATAGAATACTTGTGGAGTTTAATTGTTTCTTAAAGAGTTTTCTTATATTATTAACCAATCAGTTTTATTAAAACCTGTTATACTCTAATCATATACATAGATTGACTATGAATCATTAAATTATTGATCTATATTACTATATAAGACAACACCAGTTTTATCTAATAATAATAAATTATAGGGTATCTATGGAATTATGTATGAGTCAAATCTTATCTGGGTTTTAGCAACTGCAATGAGCTCCTTAGCTTGTGATTTTATTGAATAGCAAATAGAAACCTCTAATGTTTAAGAGAGAAAATGATTAAATGGAGGAGTGTAAGTAATATTCAGATCTGGATTCTGAGCAAAAGCTTAAACATGATTCTGATACCTAAATGATATTTAACTATTACCAAGGTCGTTTTAGTACATTATAAGATTTAGTTAGATAACTTACAGGATATGTTGCCAAATATTAAATGTTAGAATTAGCACCAATATGAAAATATTGCTTTAATCTTACTATATCTAATCCAAAAATCATTGAATATCCACTTAATAAAGTTATTGTGGAATGAATTGATTGAATTCTAGTGTCATTTTTTGGTAAAGTAATTGAATCATTTATTCCATTTGCTTAATAGCAATAAGATTCATAATTGATGAAATAGTTATCTCCTTTTAAATATGAAATAGGAACACATGGAGCTAAAGGAGATTCCAATTCTATAGTGATGTTATTGTATTCAAAATAATTGTAAGAATTTGAAATAGAAGCCAAATGGTTTATCACTTAATATTTACAATATTTTTATATATACCTTTTATATGTTATAAAGCCACTCTTCTCATTAAAATCTTTCCAATAGATACAAGTTGAGTTTTATCTTACTTTACTTATAATAGTTCAGTTGAATGAGTTGAGATATATGAAAATATTTTTGACTAAGCATAAAATGCTGATATTGGTAATGAAATAACAATGATTAGAAATATTATGTTAGCTAATATAATTTAATTTCTCATTTTTAAACTCCTTATTGTTCTTAATAGTTTCTGAAACATAATATAAATTAAGATAATTCTGTATAATTTTTATAAAATTAAATATATGTCATAATCAAATTCTTTTCTATAATCCCATCAAAATTATATTTCTTACTAATTTACATTTAATAATTTTAGCTTTTTCCTTTACTTCAAATTATACATTCTAAGAAATCAATTGAACTTTAATTATTTTACTTTTAGCCTTTACTAAAACCAAAGGGAGTATTTCATCTAAATTTTTATCATTTTAGAAATATTTATTCATTTTTAAGTTTACAAATGATAAATTTTTAGTTATTTAAACTGAAACATCTTTTAATTAATCAAAATATTAAAACTACTTAATCAAGAAAAATGAGAATTATAGAAGAATGGTAAAAATGATATTTTGAAATTTTTAATAGAATAATATCTATGCGATTATCATTTAAAATTTAATCCTTATTATTATATGTTAAAAATCTAATATAAAATTGAGATCATAATTATAATAATAACTTGATCGATATAATAGAGTTCTACTCATTTAGATATTAAAGAATAAATTTCATAATTAATCAAATAAAAACACATAAAAAAATAGAAAAGTAGAAAATAAATAAGTTTCAGAGTTGGATTGATAGATAATGTAATTTATAATTAATTAACTTTAGGAAAGTCCTTAAAAAAGAGTCTTAAACTTTTTGGAACAGATTTTTATTATGATTATTTATTTATTAATTAAATAATAAAATAAGGACTCAATAAATAGTAGTAAAATATTTTTATAATTACTTCCAAAAAATCCAAGAAAGTGAAAAAAAATATAAAACTCCATGATTCATTAAGAAAATGATGATGAATATAAATAAGGATATCGATTATTTAGATTAAGATTAGAGATTAAATAAATTTAATAAAAGCGAATAGTTAATTCAATTTAGTTTGAATTATTAGAAAGTGTTGATAGTGTAGAAATTTAATTAATTGATCAATATTAAGATAATTAGAGTGATATATGTTTTTTAGGATGTTGATTGATCAGAAACTAAGAATCTTTATAAAATAAGTTAACATTAATGAAATGCTTTATAAAATAATCATTCTAATAGATAATATATAGATGTTTGATGTTTGGAGTGATATATGAAAATCTTTAATATTTATATACATACAACATTAATAGATGATTGAATATCTTTCTTTAAATATGAAAATAATATTTTATTTAAAATTAGAATGCGTATTTAATAATTATTTATAAAATGGGAGTTTGTATTAGTAAAGTTCCATAACCTTAACCTGAAATCAACATTGATCCCATGCCTACAATATAAACTTAAAAGGGAAATTACTCAATGAGTAGTTTACCTGCTGAAGTATGGTTATGAAACTCTATCATAAAGCCAAGAAGAGGGGATAAGAAACGTTAAGCTAAAATAGAAGTGATAGAAGAGTAAATACATGAGAATGTGGTTAAATAAGCAAAAGAAAAATCACCTTTTGATTTTTAAATGATTTTGAATGCCTTTGGTAACCACTTTATGTTTGCTTAACTTGATAATGATGATAAGTAAAGAAAAGTATTAAAAGTAGAGCTAAACTAATTGATGAAATGTATTATGTTACAGCTAAAAATGCAGATTACATTTTTAAATAAGGTGATAAAGCAACATTATTTTTTATAATTGGTAGATTTTCATCATTATTAAATAAGAAAGAGGAGATTGTAAAATTATCATAAATGAAGAAGTTAAAAGAGTATTAAAAACACCAGCATTTTTTGGTGAATTGGCTTTAATGTATCATGCACCACGATCTGCATCAGTATAAGCAATAGGAGATTGTGGATTTTGGGTATTGGAAAGAAAGAAATTTAGAAAGGCAGTTGAAGATATTTAATAAAAAGCCTATGAAACAAATAGAAAATTCTTGGATTAAGTTAAATTTTTTGGTATTGTGTTGTTTATTTAGTGTTTTAGATTTTATGACTGAAGAATAAAGAGATAGTATAGCAAATGTTTTAATTACATTGAAATTTAAATAAGGTGAAATAATTGTTAATGAAGGTGATATGGCAAATTCATTCTATATTATATAAAAAGGAATTGTTTCAGTCACAAAATAAGGATAGTTTTTAAGATACATGAATTAAGGAGATTCTTTTGGAGAATAGGCTCTATTTGGTAATTGTGTAAGAGGAGCAACTGTAAAAGCTAATGATGAAGATGTGAATTTATTATCATTAAGTAGAGAAGATATTACTACTATATTGGGTGAGAAGATTCAGGTACCATAATTGTATTTATTTAGTTGCATAGTTAATCATTTATACAAATATGCAGAAATGGGCATTTGAAAAACATCCTTAATTAAGAGATCTTACTAAAATGTAAATATAAAAAATAGTATCTAATTTTAAAATTAAAACATATGAAAGTAAAGAATACTTATTCTCGAAAAATTAAATGATTGATAAATTAATTATTATTCTTGATGGTTAATTAGAATTTGATGGACAACTTTATAATAATGGTTAATTATTTGGTGATACATTCCTTTAAGTTGAAGAATCTAAAAGAAAAATTAGTTCAGATATTGTAACAACTC